CACCATTAATAGAAAGTCGTTAACCCATCAATCAAGATCCCGCCCCTCACTGGTTTGATTGACAGCCCACAATTATCTTGCCTAACAATTCGGGTTTCTTACATTCACAAATAATCACAACAATAAAAACGTGCATATATAGTGTAGTTAAACAGTGTATAATTACTTGACAAAAAAAAAACAGTATAGAATTAGTATGTGGCCCCAAAAAAAAGACAGTATAAAAATATTAATTAATAAGGACTCCATCAGTTTTGAAATAACTGTTATTTAAAATTGTGCAGAAATGACGGCAGAAATGTAGAACTATATTGCATATATAAAATTATTGTGTGGAGTATATTGTTTTTAATATCTTTTTCCATAGAATTGTCGGTTAATAATTAATCTTGACGACTATAAGACTAATTCATATTTATTGAAATTTCAAAATAATTATTTGAAAATAAAATCAATAACTCTAAAACGATCATTTTCATAAGATGGAGTGAATGCACACGAAATAATATATTCCTCTCCTTCTTATAAGCACACTATTAATTAATTTACATAAATTAATAAATTAAGTTAATTTTTGAAGTTTTAAGAGTATCCTCAATAAAAGTCAGCTGGTTGTTTTAAAAATATTTTGGACAGTGGATTTTATATAAAAAAAATTTATGAAAAAACTTACATATAATGAAGATCATAATGAGTGAATATGTATGGAGTGCGGATGGCATCCAAGATTGTTGTGAAGTTATATTACGTCCACGTATTAATTTATACTATTCTCACTTAACAACCTTCCACTTTGTCTGCCACAATTTCATTTGAATGGCTTTCATATTTAGAAAATCCACTATTTTTTATGGAAGAGATATAAAGTGACATGAATCTAAGGGTGAGCAAAACCGAACCGTAACCGAAAACCGAACCGAACCGAACCGAATTCAATTTCGATTTTTCGGTTCGGTTATTTCGGTTTTCGGTTATATATTCGGTTTTTATTTTTTAAATAATTCAGTTTCGGTGTTCGGTTCGGTTAGTAGAAAAAAAATTTCGGTTATAACCGAATAACCGAAATAAATATACCATATATTTATATTTAATAAATATTATTATAATAAATATATATGTGGGTATATGTGAACTTTTTTAATATATTTATATTCAATAGATATGATTATAACAAATATTATTATAATAAATTGAATCATGAAATATTTATTAATTAATAGTTGTAATTGTGTTTTATTATTATTTTTAATTTAAAATCATTTTTCATATTTATATATTTCGGTTAATCGGTTAACCGAACCGAAATTTTCGGTTAATTCGGTTAATCGGTTTCAGTTCGATTTTTAAAATTTATTCTATTTGGTTATTCGGTTAGTTCGGTTATCACCGATAACCGAACCGAAAAACCGAATGCTCACCCCTACATGAATCTATAACGACGCACGGAAGAAAAAAAAAGAAAAGGAAAAGAATGAATGATGAAAAAAGGCAACGAAGGCATGTAACTCGTGGTCGTGGGGTATCAATTGTCGGCCATGAATTATGTCACGTGCGGAGTACTCAGTCCTCATGCGGTTAAACCTTTAAAGTTACACACACACATCCATGGGTTTCATTCATATGTAACTCTTTTGATTTAAAGCAAATCAAGCTAATTGAATGTATGTTCATGGTTTAAATTTTTGCCAAGAAAAAAATTCATATTTAATATCCAACAATATCTTAAATAAAATTATCTCGAGAAAATACGCCTGCCTAGAAAAAAAATTACTGTAAGTGCAATCTACGCATATCAATTCAGAACCTCTCCTCTTCCCTTCCTGTCCTCTTTCTTTTTCTTTATTTTTTAACCGTTAGATTAATATTTTAACAATTCAGATTTAAATCTTTTTAAAATTATTATTAAAATATTAAATTATAAAAATAACTAAATAATAAATTACAAATTATATTAAAATTTAATTCTAATGGTTTACAGGTGCACTAAATATTTTTAAAAATTTTTTATAAATAGTTTATAAAAACTTAAAATCTAAACTGTTAAAATATGTTATGAAGGCAATAATATATAGCCTGATAATATATATATATATATATATATATATATATTGTACCGTGTCGAAAAGTTGTAACACTTTGGTATTGATTACAAGATAAGCATGTACTTGGCAAAATTAATGATGACTTCTATTTATATGAGGATTCAGAAGTAACGAGAAACACGGGACCACTGCAAAAAATTAAAACTGCTCTTGTTTATTTTAATCATATATGTGCGTAATCAGTCACACTTGTAAATAATAAACTATGGGTTGAATTCAATCCATGACAAAGTCTCTCCCGTCAGCCATCAAATACTATTAATTTCCTGTATTCTATTCCAAGCTAACAGCCTCTTCTGACTCATCGTTTCATCAAAATTAAACTCCATGATTCCTTAATTTACACTTAGCTGCCTTTTGTTCTCATATTTAACCACTTTCAATTTTTAGGGTACATATTCATCAAAAAAAGTAATAAGAGCAGAGTTATATTTACATCCAAGGAAATTTATGCCCCATTACAGGAGCATTCTTTTAAAAGAAAAAGATAAATAATGGTAATTTAATTGATGCATATTAATATTAATATTGATTACGTGATTAAAAAAATTCTCCAATACAGTTAGCTTTACTACGAGGAGGTCAAAGTCTAATTTAAAATCTATATGCCCTACCACAGTTCTTAATTCAAAAGGTAGCAGCCACGTGTTTTGTCTGGGGTTCCTTTTTCATCAGGTGACAATCAAGTAATCAACGAAATGGTCTGTGCTTCAAACAACTGTGAGAACGTGACAATTAATATTGTTTATTAGTCAGTCGCAATTTATAAAATGATCGCATTAATGCTTGTTCTTACATCCTGAATCCCATCATCCAATCAACATACCTCCGGTTTTAATTATAAGATTTAAGATCTCAGTCTTATAATTAGGATTGAAAGTAAGACGTAGTTAGCTTATAGTCATGTACTTGCTGCCATTACCATATTCCAAATCAAATTCGTTTCACCCTGAAACACGGAATAAATCGAGCGTACCTCGTCCTCTTTTATCTTTGTTCCGTTCCGTTCCATTCCAAATTATACACAACACACACACACACACGCACATATTGCGTAGATTCTCTTTATTTTTATGTATTTATCGGTCACAAATAAGGCGCCCGAATTGAAAGATTCCCGAGGTGAGAACAAAATCACAAACGGGACCGTACTCCGACGCATCGTGTCCTCAATTGTACTTTTTCCCCCTAATTTATTTGAGCGTCTAGCAAACTTGCGACTTGAAACGAAATATCATCCCTTTTTTTTTTTCCAGAAATGAAATATCACCTAGCAGATTGATCAGCTGTTGTTTAGAAATAATCACAGCCCCCCCTCTCTTTTTTTCTTTGTGCCGTTTATTCTTTATTTTATTTTTCTAGGAGGTGGTGATGATTTTTCTTTTTGTAAATGAAAAATTAGATGAATTGGGTTTCAAGAACTTATTAGGACCAAGACATGTCTCTAAGTTCATTTGTATAATTCATGTAACGTCAGGGAATGGGACTTCATTTTTCGGGGGCCATGTCAAATGAAAAGGCCCAAAATGCCGGCTTGTTTTTTAATATCTCGTTGAAAGTCAACGTCCCTTGAGTCCAGATTTGCGTGTTTGGGTTGCCTCCTCTGGTCCAACGTCCGACTTGTTTTATGTTGTCCTTGATCCGATTCCATGTGGCCCGAAATGAATTGGGCTGAATGAACCCGGCCAACTGTGCGTATAACTGTACAAAATATAACAAATTTATCTTTAAAAAAAAGAAGATTATTTTATAAAAAAACATAAATGGTGCAGAGCGTATATTTTGGGCAGACGCATGACAAATTGGAGTCATTCTTTTCAAAATTGTAATGCGTGGATGAGATGACGGTGCGTGTACTTTGGAGATGTAACCATAATATCTAGTTTAGCCTGAACCTGATGTAATCTATACGAATATTTTGAAAGTAAAAAAAAAGAAGAAAGAACAAACAACATGAATACGACAATAAGTATGAGATGCAGCAGACTTCTCAGTCCTAACTGATGTGACGCTGAGAGACTTCACCGTGGACCAAACTCTTTTTAACAGTTTGATGATTGTGGCTGCCGCTTGCAAGGGCTATGATGTGCAAGGACTAAGGAGTTAGCTTTTATGGAGTCAAATGCAGGCACTGTCCTACCCTGCAATCACAGCCCCGCTTTCTCAAGTCTCAGGCTTCAAACGACACTCGCATTGTTATTCTTTTGCCATCACAGCCCTAACTTTCCTTTGTTCTCCGGGACCACGCTGATTTCGTTACTCTTCAAGTAATAAGGCGGGCGAGGGTGTTTGGTCCCAAAAGTAGTGTCGTCATCTTTTGATTCGCTTATATCTGGCTCGTGCACTTTGTTTTTCAGTGCTTTGCAGATTTTAAACTCGTCGAGGACCCTAACTACCAGCCGTAATGAAATCTTTAGTAACCATAGCTGTAGGAAGCAGACATCCAAACTAATTTACTGATTCGTTCATTGATGCTCAACTCCAAGAAGCAGGTAAGAGCTGGGAAAGTTTTTCTCCTCTGGGATGCGTCACAGTACTAAATATGTTTTCAGAGCTGTTTTACTTGTGGCCTCATTGCTGGGGGTGGATGCTCACTCTCATCAAGCCCCCATTGATGGACGCAACTAAATGTGGTCAGATTATCTGTTCTTCAGGTGTTCTTTCTCCAAATAATAATAACAACTGAGCATCCAATGCATCTGAGTTTAAGATGTCACATATAACAGAATTGACAGTGTAACAAAGACAAATAATAGGCTTGTCGATTAGCTTACATCTCAAAATCATAATTAATAATTGAATTCCTCATAAAAGTATTTTTAAATAGGGTAATTATTGATTGCACTATAACAGCGACAAGATAAAATAATGTATCTTCCGATAGTTGCAACTTTGAAGTTCTGAATGGCCTTTCTCTGACCACCATAAAACGTTATGGCATCCCACATATTTTCAATCAAGATATATTGGTAATATTTTCAGATAAAACTTTATATGACGCCAATCCATCTATCCCATCTTAAAAACCTTACAAAAATAATATACAACCCTCAACCATGTACTCTCAAATTCTATGCTATCTAGGAGATCGAAATGTTCAATGCAAGGTATAAACCTATACTAAATCAAATCTTGTTTTCTTTACATTACCATGCAGGATCCCTTATTCCCTGGCTTGATCGGCTGGCTGCGCCGGAAGAAATTGTGAGATCCAGAAACAGCATTAATCTATCCCATGCCTCTGCCCTTAGGTGACAAAGTCTGGCAACAACTGTGCAGCAAACCTCTTAGGGTTCTGCAAGTTCATGTTCTCAAATGCAGCTGAGGAGTGGGCGGTGGAAGGGTTTATGGCTCCATACTCGTTCGATTCACCCATCTCCAGTCTTCTTCCCAACTGAATGTTCTGGCTTGGGAGAAAAGTTTGATGGCTTCCTGATAACGTGTCACAATGGGGAAGACCAAGAGTCAGGGAAACCCCATTCCCAGAAAACCTTGGAGTAAACTGCTCTGCGTCAAACCTTCCGATCTCCCCAATCGGGTATTGTCCAAAACCTCCGATAAAGTTTGCTTGGGTTCCCATGAATGGGTATTCATCCCTCCCCTGCCTCTCCTCTCCAAATTTTATTGAAAGTTGCTCATTACTGGCCTCGTTGGGCTTCACGTCCATGTTTATTGAAGTTGGGAAGTGTAGAATTTCTTGGTTTCTTGGCTTCTTGGGACTTCCCTGCGTGATGCCTTCTAGCTCTGATGATCCCATGAAGCTGAATCCAAACTGGTTTCTGACATTATCCCCAGTCGGTGATGATATTAATGGTTTAGAAACTGCTGTAGGAGTGTTTTGATTTGAAAACGTGTCTTTGCTGGAGTTGAGGCTTCGGGCATCCGTTTCAGTGGCAGGGCCTTTTTGTTGTGGTGCTGCCGTTTTAATAGCAGGATCTTCACCGCTCTTGCTTGATTTATCTTCAGATCCGTTCTGTTCTTGCTCCTTCATCTCCTCCGTGTACATTTCTTCCACCATTGGTTTCCAGAGCCGAACTCGAGCATTTATGAACCAATTCGAAACCTGGGACAGCCGGAAACCACCTGATCAATTCCATAATTAAGGGAAATAATGGTTCGTAATTAGTGCAAAGACTAATTGACGAGTACCTGGCTCCTCGTGAGGCCTGTTTGCTTAGCAAGCATGTGCTTGTCAGAATCCTTGGGATAACTGGAACGAGACACAATAGTTTCAGCACAAAATTTAGAAAAGCCAAAATCTGTGAAGGTGGATCGAAACCGAATTGATGGGGTTTCTTACGGGTGGAGGAAGTGCTCAAAGAGCCAAGCACGTAGAACAGAGACAGATCTTTCGGGCAACCCTCGCTGGGGTCTCCAAGCATTGTGCTGGATCATTCCCAACTGTTGGAGAGCTCGCTGTTGGCGCAGGTGATGGTCCACGTACTTGAGCCTCGAACCTTCAATCTTGGTTCCAAAGCAATCTTCTTCTCCTAAGCTCTTATTAGCAGCTCGAATTTGGGCTGTAATGGCATCTTTCAGGCAGCGAAACTGCTTGGAGATCGTTTGCAGGGCAAGGGATGTGTATGTTCTGGCCGACCCAATTCCCGCAGCTTGCTCGAATGACGAAATCACTATCTGCATCTGCTGGTGGTACTGCCGGTACCTCTGCTCCACCTACACCAAAACCCAGTTATTAGTTAGTTTTAAAATCATTCTTGAAACTTGAACGTGGGCTTGCTTGCTATTATTAGCTCCCCATTCATTATAATAAGAATGATTATTATTCCTTCATTATTAAACCGCATAACCATTCTCAAATTCACAGGGTTATAATTAATGTTTTTTTGGGCGTGAAATTATTAGTACAACTAAAGCTCCGTTAAATTAATAAATCCATGAACCTAAGGTTTCAATTTGATTTCGACCTCCAAAAAAAAAAAAAAATCCACCCATGGAACTCGCACTTACACTTTTCTCTTGAAGTAAAAATCAGATTCAGCGTATCACCAGAGAGAAAAAAATGATTGATCAGTACCTCATCAAGCATGCTGATTAGCTTAGCCTTCTTCATCTGAATCTCTTGTCTCTCCGCTGCTGATAGCTCAGAGGCTCGCTTAGCGCTTCCTTCTCCGCCGACAGAGACGTCGCCACTAGCTGCTGTTCCGGATGTCTCCCCAGTGGCTTTAGTATGGGCCCCTCCGTTCTTCTTTCCCAGCTCAGTCTTGATGCCGTTGTTAACATTGACGGCCTCGTCGAGAAGTTCCTGTGCTGCCTTCAAGTACTTGGAGCTTAGAAGCACACTCTGAATCCCCGAAACACCGTTCACGTTGGTCACCCCAGAAGCCGAAGACGGCGAACCACCCGACCCGCGAACGTCTTCGCCGGACATAGCAGGCGCTTGACCCTGCGATGTCACGTCACGATCAACCCGAAAAGACCCCATTCCAGCTTGCTGGGAGGACAGGCTCAGTGACAGTCCCTGCTGTGCTCGTGGAGTCTCACGCGCCGTCGCGTTTGGGTCGATTGGGTTCCAGAGATTGCACTGCATGCGAGGCAGAAATCCATGCAAGGCGGAGCCATCTTGGTGAGCATGCACGGAGTGTTGCTGGTTGGGGTCTTGGGAGGAGGCAGCGGCAACGGTCGGCAGAGGGATGCCCACGAATTGCTGGGTATGATTGGGTGGCACGTGGTGGAGGTTTTGGGGAGCAAGCGAGTTGTTGCCAGCCGCGATGGAGTTGAGGAAGACCAAGTTACTGGAGTGCGACGGGGGAGGCGGCGGCGTGTCGGAGTAGTGGATATAGCCGGGGTTCATGAGAACCAGAGTTTGGAGGCCATCGGGCGGTTGGATTTCAGGATTACCATGAAAGTACGTCGCCATCGATTTTGGGTGAGAGCCTAATTCTTTTGGTGGTGACTTCACTGAAAAGAGACTACGTTAGTTAGGCCAGGCTTTCAAACCTCACATCCAAAACATACCAAATTACCAATACTCAGACATGAAACACACAAGTAATAAAAAAAACAAAGAAAGAAAAAGCTCACAGACTCACGAACTTCCTCTCTATTTTCTACTGAGACACGAACACGGCCATGTAAATTATAAGACGGAAATATGATATGCACTATACCTTCGACTTCGAGAGAATCTGAGTATTTGTAGTTATAGATTAACCCATGAAAGAGCTGCGGAGAATCAATACTTATTTCGCAGTCACCTTCTCAAAATAATCCTAAGAAAGAAACAGAGAAGAAGATATATAGTGAATCAGCAAGGTACAGCGGGATCGAAAATTAGTTTTCTGCAAAGCGCTTCTGCCTCTTAAGTACTCAAAATCAGTGGATTTTCTTTCATCCAGCTATATATTTATATATAAGGAGTTTCAAAACCCTTTTTCACAAAAAAAAAAAGGGGGGTTTTGCTTCGAAAACGAAGTAATTGGAAGAGGAGGAGGGGAGGGAGTGTGGGTACGAAATAGGGTGGGGGGTTTCACAAGGAGAGAAGAACATGGAGGACGGAGAGAGATGGTATAGGGATTGACACAGACAAAGGAAAAGGGCGAGAAATTGATTATTTATGTGAATAAATTATGACGGTGGTAATAGGAGTACCTGCTGTATGATGGAAATTACAGTGCACACGTGCTCCATGATCATCTCTGAACTGCAAAGCAAAAAAGAAAGAAGGATTTCAATTATAATGACCCGAAACCTATGAGCAATGGATTTTGAGACAAACATGTGTGTGTGTGTGTGTGTGTGTAGAGAGAGAGAGAGAGAGAGTGGGGGTAAACACAGGCACAAGCACACACCGACTCACCCACCAAAGTGATACAGTTATGGCTAACAGACATCGAGAGGAAGGATACATGGAAGAGAGAGAGAGAGGCAGCAACTTTAACCTGGGCACATGAATATGTATTATGCGATGCATCTATGTTTGGGATCTTATCACTCTCTTTCGCTCACAAAGGGCAAAGCTCTGTGTGTCTCTGCAACTCCATCCACCTCCGCTCAAAAGAGGGAAAAAAAGGAGTTACGAGGGAGGTGAGGTTAAAAAGACATGTCATAAAGATACCCCTCTTTATTCATCGCCTCATTATCCTCACATTTATGGCCATTTTCATGGGATAAATTAAAGAAAAGAAACTACACATACAAGAAAAAGAAAAGTGGGAGATTCTGGGCAAGCGAGATCAAGAACTGCTCTCAATTGTGAAGACTGCTTAAGTCTACATGTACATGTGTTTATTCCTTATCTTTCTGTGGCTTTTTGAGAAGTACCTGTGAAAGGATCAAAACACGGCAACTTGTTTCGATTTGACCCCCTCTCTTTTCAAATCACTTGATGCAACCAAACACTCCCTCGACGAGCATCCATGAACTTTTTGAGAGAGATGGGGGTTGGGGGGGGGGGGAGAGAGAGAGTTGGGTCTGTGCTGAGAAATGGATATAGGAGGGTAAAAGAGAGAGAGAAGACGAACCAATTATGTCAGAAGGTACGAAGAGCTGGGAGACGAGGAAACGTCAAAAGCTTAATTAATTGTTTTTTTGAAGGGAAAAAATAATGAGAGAAGAAAAGAGGATGAGGAAGGAGGAGCAGGGCGCGAGAGCGGGGGAGGTATCTCATGGCTGGCTTCTCCATTAAATATCTCCTTGTCGTTTTCACAATTTTCATGATTTTCTTTTCAATTTATCTAAAGGATTTTTTGTGGTTGGATGCCTGAGTTTGAAGATAAAGCAATTAAATTACTAAGAAACCAACTACCATAACACCAACTTTAATGCTTTCAATAAGCTGAAAATAAAATTAATTTCCGGTACCATTTGGCAACGAAATATCTCCTCATCTGTGCGCCCATGGCAATTTATTCATATATTTATATTTTATTTCGATAAAAGAAAAAGATGATAGAGATCAGAGAGAAAAGCAAAGGGGTCCCAATCAAAGTGCATGAATGATGTGTCCGTGAATGATAAGGCCTTCAATATGTGGTCCCCACTTGGCTCTCAAGCATCAGACCCACTGGCGGCATCGCCTGGCAGGCCCTTAATTATAAATATAATCACCACCACAATGGACGGATTAAAATCTCATTTTAAGTCCGTGATTTAATTAATTATACCTCTTATGCCTTGGGCAATAAAATGATATGCTACCTCCGTCCTAATTATAAGATCTTATATTAGGACCGGCGGTGGTGCAAACGTATCTTCGAAATTCTTCACTGTTTGGCCAAAAATTAGCTGCTGATTTCAAGATTTTGTCAACTTTTTCGTCAACAATCTTTGATGACACCCAAAGGACCACTTTTATGCGGGACATTCAAATGGAATAATAATGTATCGCATAGCAGTTTTACAATTTGTTTTCTTATTATCTGTTAGAAAAAGAGGCCAGATTGAGAAGATTACGAAAGACCAAACAAATCGCTTGACAATTAACCTTTCCAATGCGAGTGAGGTAATTCCATGGATTCATTCATCTGCATGGAAAGACCCCTAATGGTAATTAATTATAAATTTCCTGAAACATACAACGCCTATTTTCTACATACTCTGCTTTCACACTTCTCCGTCCCCGTCAACAAACTATTAATTAATTATCAGAATGGCTATCTTAATCTTTTTTTAGCAGGATGATTACCCTTGATCCTAGTTCCTCAGTAGTTACAAAATCTGTTTAAATTATTATTTAAGAGACCAGACAAATCTCGATGAAAATTACCAAGAGACACAATGAAAAAGATGAATTAGTTGCATTTTAGGCGTAACTGGTCGACTCTAAATTCCATCCAAACACGACGGTCACTTTTTTTTTTTTTGGCAACCATACACGACGGTCTTAAATATATGTGTGTGTGTGTGTGTAGATATTATATAATAATAACCAAGCATAAATAGTTCACTTTAGACTGACATGGATGTGCACGCGTGCGTGTGATTGGATATCGATCGATTAATTGCCTAATAGTGAATTGCAAAGTTCAATGAGGGACACAAGGGCTACAAATGTCATATAAAAACAATCAAGAAAGAAGTCTGCTGCCGCGATTTGATGAATTTTTTTTATTTTAGTTTAAAAACATAGGACTTTTTTTTCAGAAGTAATTAGTGAGGTCTTTAAAGATATCCTTGATGAATAATTGAAATAATGAGTTTTTCAATTTTCTGTTTGTGAGAACAAGGGCAGACGTGAAAAGGCAGGTAATTTTTTTAATTATTTTGTTTTAGAATAAATGTTAGGTTATAATTTTGGAGGGAGGGAGCAGTTAGATTATTTGCTGTAATGTTATTATTTATAATAATATTAAGTTGAAAGGGGCACCGATGATAAGCTACCTAAAAGAAGATAGCTGACTGTCATGTTAATTAGGAGAGCCTGCGAATTGAATAGGAACTTGCATCGATCGGTGGCGTTCAGTGGCACTAGGAGGATATAGGAGCTACCATCATGTTTTTAATGGAGAAAGCAAATCAGGCAAGACGCACTGTTTAGTTTACCATAAAGAGATTTCCATGAATGTTTGCTTTTTGGTAATCAAGCTGTCATTCTCTTGCACAGACCACCAGTATTTATCTCATCCTTCTCTTGGATTCTTTCACACACCTCATTATTGGAGCTTCTTGTTCTCTCTCTTTCTATATATATATATATATATAATATATATATGTATGTATATATCTATTCTCACTTGACTAGGCATTATTCATCAACAACCTAGTTTTTCCACACTCAGTGAAAAGGCAGAAAAGCACATCGGATCTCCATCGGACACTTGTAAAAAACACAGGAAAAAAAAAGACGTCATTAGTTACTCGCTTATCATTATTCATACATGCATGTCAGAAGTATTCCCGGTTGTTTCACTACCATGTGTACTTTGAAGGAAGGATATCTTGCATGCCACTGTCCTTTCCTTTTCCTTCTTTTTTTGGCTCTCGGACACAAAAGGCTTGGTTTATTTTAGTTTCATCGGAGATCTCATGAATAGATCCTTGTATTGTGAACTCCTTATGCAAAAAGGGGGGGGGAGCATATAACGAATATAATGGTTAATTTCAGTCAGTGTCACTAAATAATGCGGATAAATCATAGATAATTAACGGTGCCTTGCCCGATAATTTGAATAATTTTTTGTCCCTATAGATCAGATGTAGGCGAATATGCATATCTATATGATAGTACATATTAACATATATATATATGGCAGTCTTCCAGAGGCCAGTTAAGTTTATCACATTCGATTTAGCAGCGAATTGCTTATATTAGACTATATGTTGTCTTCTAGGACGCTTGCCCCCTGACCCGAGTCATGGTTTGAAAACAATGGAAAAAGAAGTAGAGCCATTATGTGACGCCAGAATCTAAGGGCAAGGGTAACCATCATGACAGTGACACAGAATTCAATTATCTTGGATGTTTCCTGCTAATTAATTATCTCCATATTATAATAGACGAAACAATCAACAGGTTACAAAACGTACGCCAATGTTAAGGCACAATAAGGTCACTTGAATATTTAATAATCACCCCGATTTTAATTATTATAGCAATATGAAACCGGTCTGCAGAAACATGTACAGGGCCGTACTAACCAGGAGTGGCTCACATCACATCATATTAACCCCAAATGATCCGTGGCGCTCACTTCACTATGTGTCCATCGCTCTGGGAGAGACGATGTACATATATATATATATATAAATATTATATGTAAAAGGGATTTGGTGAGTGGGAATATATATAATTGACCCTTGTGCGTGTGCGCCGGCCCCTATATATCTATTTCAATATAGTTATCATGGGACTCCCTCGCTTCCTCACTGACAATCATCTCACGAAGAAAATGACTCGAAAACAACATAACACTAACAATTCCCACTTCAGGTATAGATTTTCGTGTAGTTAGTGAGTGTCAGAAATAGGACAAGAAAAGGATTGCATCGGTGAAAGTGGGATGCGCGCAGAAAAATGGATATCCGTACAAGCCAATCATAAGATGATAATTAATAACAAAAAAACCAGGCGGCCAATGGTTGCTACCTTCGTTTATCCCGGTACTCTGCCAGCCCCAAAACCATTCAAAACAAAAGCGATGAAATTATCTGAACACAATCTTCGTAATCACTCTTATAAATCGTCCTTTATTTTGTTTTCTCTGGATGCACTGGACTTCAAAAGTAAGTAGTAGATTGACGAAGAGGAGGGGGCCGGGGGATAAGGGGGTTA